AGCGCCTCCAGCACCAGTAGTACCTCCAGTACCTCCTGTGCCACCAGCTCCAGTAGCACCTCCTGCACTTCCAGCACCAACAGTACCACCTGCTCCGGCAGCTCCAGCACCTCCAGTACGAGCACCTCCGGGACCAGTAGCTCCAGCACCTCCAGTACCTCCAGCTCCAACGCCTCCAGCACCAGCAGTACCAGCACCTCCAGGGTCAGCAGCTCCCGCAGCTCCAGCACCAGGAGCACCAGCACCTCCAGTGCCACCAGCTCCAGTACCTCCAGCACCGGCAGCAGCTCCAGTACCCCCAGCACCAGCAGCTCCAGTACCTCCTGCACCAGCAGCACCTCTAGTACCTCCAGTAGTACCTCCAGCACCTCCAGCACCAGCAGCACTTCCTAGACTAGTAGCTCCAGCACCAGCAGGACCGTACCCTCCACCACCAGGACTGCCTCGCAGAACGACCCACGCACGAATCGCCTGCGGCGAGAGCGTCTCAAGTAGAGCAGGCTGCGGTGGCTGTCCAGCTCCAGTACCTCCAGTAGTGGTAGCTCTAGCACCTCCAGTACCAGAAGCACCTCTAGTACCTCCAGCTCCAGCACCTCCAGCACCAGCAGCAGCTCCAGTACCTCCAGCACCAGTAGTACCTCTAGTACCTCCAGTAGGACCTCCAGGCCTAGTAGCTCCAGTACCTCCAGCTCCAGGACCTCCAGAAGGACTCGCAGCACCCCCAGAGTCAGCACCCGAAGTCTCAGCACCCCCAGAGTCAGCACCCAAAGTCTCAGTACCCTCAGTCCCAGCACCCTCAGGCTCAGCACCCTCAGTCCCAGCACCCTCAGTCTCAGCACCCTCTGGCTCAGTACCCTCAGTCCCAGCACCCTCAGTCCCAGCACCCTCAGGCTCAGTACCCTCAGTGCCAGCACCCTCAGTCCCAGCACCCTCAGTCTCTGCTCCAGTGTCCACAGCAGTAGGCTGCAGAGGCGGCGAAGACGGCAGAGGTGGGAACCCGGGGGGGGTAGCCAGACGAGGAGAGCGGGCACCCCCAGACTCACCACCCCCAGCCCCAGCTCCAGTAGTCTCAGCTCTAGAGTCCACAGCAGCAGGCTGCGGAGGCGGCGAAGACGGCCGTGGCGGGAAACCCGGGGGGGTCGCCAAGCGAGGAGTGTGGCGAGTGGTCGCCGTGTCGTCGGCGACGGCGTCACCCCCCTCAGGTGAGTCAGAGGAGTCAGAAGAGTCCAAGGGGGGTGGGTCTACCTGGGACACACCTGAGGGAGCAGGACCCTGTGGGGGGAGGGGGTCTACCGGGGGGCTGGTACCAGGAAGAGGGGTGCAAGGGGGACCGGGTGGGACGCGTGTGGGTGAAGTCGGTAGTAACAGACCGACTCGTCGAAGGTGACGTCCTGAGAGGACAGAACACGACACGAGGCAGGGTGGTAGAACTGCCAGGGTGGAGCGTCGGTGGGGAAGCCCAGGAAGACACAGCGGAGAGTGCGAGGAGAGAGCTTGCTCGCTTTGGTATCGCGAACAAGGGAGAGCGCGCCCTAGACCCGAAACGACGACACATCACCAGGCTGTCCCGTCCAACGAAGTGTGGGCGAGGTCTCTGGAGCAGAGACACGGGGCCAGAGGTTGAGCTGATGCGTGGCGTATCGGACCGCAAACGGCCACAGGAAATGGGGAGCAGCCGCATGGATCATGGAGGTACGAGCAACCTCCATGATCAGGCCAATGCGACGCTCAGCGATCCCATTTTGCTGCGGAGAGGCCGGAAGCGTGAACGGCTGGGCGATGCCCTCATCCTGGCAGAACGTCTCAAGGACGCCAGAGAAGAACTCACCACCCCTGTCAGAGTGCAGACGCAGGACTGGGAAGTCCTGATGAAAGCGCTCGTGTAGCTGGAGACGAGTAGCACGGATCCAGGGGATCAAAACACCGCTGACATCCGCCTTGCGACGCAAGGGGAAGACTGTGGTGTAGCGTGTGTAGTCGTCAACAACCAGCAGGAAGTAGCGCTCCTGGTCTGTCCCACCGACGGGGGCCGGGCCCCACACGTCCAGGTGGAGAGTCTGCAGAGGAGCAGTGGTCGGAGGAAACTCGGAGGAGTGAGGAGCGGCGCGCTGCCGCCCCTCGACGCAAGGAAGGCACGGCGGCGCAAGTTAGCGCGGGAGGGGGGTCAGGGTCTCAGGGAGGCCAGAGACCAGGAGCCGGGAGTGCATGCCGCGCAAACGCTGCAGGGAGGGGTGACCAAGACGGTGGTGCTAGCGCTGAGTCTCGTGCGTGAGTACTCTGCACGAGCAAGACGCAGCTAACTGCCCTAACGCAGACGCTCGACTCGACGCAGCTACCTGACCTGACTCAGCCACCTGTGCAGACGCAGTGGTCAGTGTGTACAGACTAGACCCAGGCTGACGAGTTAACGTAGCCAGGTGACGGCCAGTCCGGGAGCACGTACAGATCGCCACACGCTGCCCTCCAGGAATAAAGGTATCAACCCAGACATCCTGAATGGCAGCGTTGCTCACCAAGTTCGTCGAGAACGTGGGGAGGTGGAGACCTGACAAAGAACCGAAGGGGACTGCTGGACAAGGGAGGACCGTGGAGGCTCTCGCAACCACTGGGCCCCCAGAGGGGTCAGCCAGTGAGACTGGGACAGGTGCTGTGAGTGGTGTGACTGTGGTGCAATCACGGAAGAAGCAACGTGACGCGCCTGAGTCAAGCGTGAAAGTGTGCAGGACCTCGGCTGAGGCAGGACCTGTGGTAGTAGACGCACTAGCACCTAGAGCGTCGGTAGACTCACGGGCACCTAGAGCTGCAGCAGACTCACTAGCACCTGGAGCGGCAGCAGACTCACTAACACCAAGAGCAGCAGTCCTAACAGAACGATAACCTCCACCACCAGGACGACCTCGCTGAATAACCCACTCACGAAGCTGCCGAGGGGTGGGGTCGTCCGGGAGAAGCAGTGCCCGCTGCTGTCCACCCCTGGCCGCAGCGACTGCCGCGGAAGTGGCCATGACAGACAGTGACGATCAGGAGTAGGTCCAGCACCTCCAGCTCCTACAGCGCCAGCAGCACCTCCTGCACTCCCAGCAGCACCTCCTCCACTCCCAGTAGCACGAGTAGCAGCAGCAGCAGTAGTAACAGCAGCAGGGCGGCGCGCGGCTAGAGCAGGGCGGCGCGCGGCCACAGCAGGGCAGTAGTAGGCAGTAGCTCCTGGAGTCCTTTTTTTTTTTTTTATAAACAATTTAATCATATTTAGGGTATAGCAGGGCGCTGGCGCAGGGCAGGGCGCGGGCGCAGGGCAGGGCGCTGGCGCAGGGCAGGGCGCCAGCGCGCGCAGGGCAGGGCGCTGGCGCAGGCTGCAGCAGTGTATGACGCGACGCACGGGCTGCGTTAGGGCGCGGGCTGCAGCGGCAGGACGCGCGGGCTGCAGGGGCGCCGCGCTGGCTGCAAGGGCAGCTCGTACGGGCTGCAGGGGCCGCGCAGACAGGCTGCAGAGGCGGCGCGCGGGCTCCAGGGGCGACGCGCGGGCTGCAGGGTCCGCGAGGACGGGCTGCAGAGGCGGCGCGCGGGCTCCAGGGGCGACGAGCGGGCTGCAGGGTCCGCGAGGACGGGCTGCAGAGGCGACGCGCAGCTGCAGGGGCAGCGTGAACGGGCTGCAGGGGCAGCGTGAACGGGCTGCAGGAGCAGCGCGTGGGCCACAGGGGCAGCGCGTGGGCCACAGGGGCAGGCGCGGCTGCAGGGGCAGCACGGTAGCAGGGGCGAGCACGGCTGCAGGGGCAGCACGGTCGTAGGGGCGAGCACGGCTGCAGGGGCAGCGCGGTCGCAGGGGCAGCGCACGGGCTGCAAGGGTCGCGACAGTGAGAGCTAGGGGCGCCAGCGCGCTGGCTACTGTGTAGGGCGTGGCGCTACCACTAGGCGGAACGGTGGGCCCATGTAGGAACGGTTCCTACTCTGATAACATGTCAAGAATAGATCTAGGAATGATGGGTTGAACTAGGCAAGAGGTGAGTACAAGTAGGGGAAACCGAACCCTAAAGTGTTGTACTCACTAAGGAGTGACCCTACTGTAGCCTAGAGATACAATTGTAATCTGACACATGCTTGATGTTGTGCGTGTTCTTGCTGCCTCTGGGAGCTGCATGTACTGTAAGCCACCAAAAGGATAACTTAAAAATAAAGGCTCCCAATTCTGAGCATGCACTGTGGGCACAGACATTTATACTCGTAGCTGGGCAAAGAGACGGGGCCACTAGTGGCACAGGCAAGCCATCACTCCCCTGCGTCTCCTGCAGCCACACTCAATCCATCTCCCACAGCGCATCGCATCAACCCTCCCAGAGCGTTAGTGAGGAGACAGGTAAACTCAAACCCCAAATTTGGCGAGCTGAAACCCTCCAACACCAGTAGCACCCCTCAGCTGGCTAGTTTGAAGGCATCAATAAAGAGACTGTAGGTGAATCCCATCGTGAACACGTTCAGCAGAGCAAGCGGATATGATATGAGTAGCTTTGACAGCTGGCCCGATCCCAAAGCTCACGCCACCTCCAGCAGCAGAAACGCTCTCAGCTGGCTAGTTTGAATGCGTCTATGAAGAGACCATAAGTGAATCCCATCTTGAACACGTTCAGCAGAGCGAGCGGGAACGAGCTTTCACAGCTGACTCAAATCCAAAGCTGACTCGATCTCCAACAGCAGCAACGCTCAGCTGGCTAGCTTGAAAGCGTCTATGAAGAGACCGTAAGCGAATCCCATCTTGAACACGTTCAGCAGAGCGAGTGGGAACGACGGGCGTAACGTGGAGTAGTACGATCTGGTTACCACCTCGGTGAAAACCAGACATATCGCTGCAGCTGCCACGTCGTTTACACTCAGAGCGCCGAAGGAGAGAGAGATGGTTTGGGCGACGTAGAAACCGCCAAACAATGCGATGCCGCCGAACATGGCTCGGCGCAGCGGCCGGGCGGCAAAGTAACTGTTCACGCGCCGCTGGATTTCGAGAAGGATGTTCAGCGGGCTGAGGCGAGGTAAGGAAGATGGTGGGAAGCTTCCAAACCCTCCAAACCCTGAACCCTCGTTTCCGCTCCCACCTCCCCGCCCGCTTCCCATTCCGCTACCCCCTCCCCCACCCGCGCCGCCCCCTCCCCCACCTCCTCCGCCTCTTCCACCCCCTCCCCCACCTCCTCCGCCACTTCCCCCTCCTCCTCCACCTCCCGCCCCGCCTGAGCCCCGCCATCCGCCCTCATTTCCGGACCCACGCGATTCCCGCGTTTCCCTCCCTCCGCCATCGACTGTTTCGTATCCGCTACGATCTCTCGTTCCGCTGCTTCCCTTGCCCCCTCTTCCCCACCATTTGAATCCAGAAGTGGCTCGAGTTGACACGTCACGGCTTGGTCTCATGCGTGGTAGTAAACCTGTGGTTAGCGGGACCGCTGCTGGCAACGAATATCGAGGCGGACTACAACGAGGAGATTCGGCTGCTGCGGGGGTGTTTCTTAAAACAGGCGTTTCGTTATAAGCTGATGCGCTGCAATGTGCAGTGCGGTGTCTTGTACAGTGGACGACAGTACTGCTGCTGTTATCGACGAAGCCGTTTGGGGTGCAATTCGTTGCAGATAACGAGCAGGTGGACTGCAGGGAAGCGCATAGGCTACTAGCGCGTATGGGTCGATGAAGCCTGGGATTGTGGCCGAGCGGTGTCAAAACCTTGAATGATGACGTCATGTGGCCAGATCAGCATCAACGGCTCACTGGTCAGCGATAGTGAAGCCTCAAATCGCGAATAATATCAATGACAGGAGAATCGAATCTCCAAACCCTCTAAAGGACTTGGGTAGTCAACGAGTGCCCATTAAACTGCATACTCGCGACTTCTGATGGTCAATATACACATTTGCATGGCCCCTGAAACAGTCACTGGGACAACGGTCGCTGGTTCGCGAACGAGTGCGATCACGTCCAGCTTCAGTCGCCACAATACTATGCGCCTCCCGCCTAGCGTATGAAATGTTAACCGACTTTATCTAAAGCGAGCTAACTGATGGATTTCTGGCATCTATTATTGACAAGAATAATTCGTAAATGACCAGTCAGTCCACTAGGACAACTAAGGCTACTATTTGAGACCAGAGGTAGACCAGTGGTCATCGTCTTGCGATGATCAGATCATTCGACGATTTCGAGGTTGTGCGACGCACGAAAACTCACGAAACTTTTTTGTTTCCTGAGGCGGCGCTCTGGTTCGTCGCACCGTATCTCGCTCATGCTGCCGAACATGCTGGTTTCCACGTTACCGCAGCTTCGCAGCAGGAGCCACGTCAGCACATCGGCGTTTCTTGATGCGACGCCTGGATTGCGTACTTCACGAGATGTATGCCCGCCACAAATGCACCATCCGCGATATTGAACACCTTGGTCACCTGGATGTGAGCATCTCCGATTTTTTGAAACGTATAAAACGTGGGGTTCGTGAAACATCTTTAGCTTAACCTCAGTATGAAAACAAAAATGATATCCCTTACATCATCCTTTCAGCCAAGATAACCGTACAATAAAATCACTAGTCCCAGCCCATGCTGCAGCCGCAGCATATGCTGTCCCGGAAAATTCAGACCTCTCAGATGACTAGGAACCTGTGTTACCTTCAGAGGGCTTTAGTTCTGGTTGCAAGTGGCGATGTACTTGTGAAGAGCAGATGTGTCCAGGGCAGGGAATTGTGACGTCACAGACAAGACAACTTCTGCCAACCTCCTGGTGGCTGCCTTGGAAGGACCCTGTGGAATTTGGATAAGGTTGTAGAGTAGAAACATCACGTTTGAGTGCATGATGCTGCATCCGACGCATAATATTCAGCAGCGAAAAGTGTTTTTCGCGCATACCTCAATATTGAGTGGCAAGACGGGGTCATGGAGAGACAGGCGGAGCAGGAACCATCCACCGAACCCAGACACACGCGCCTGAGACACAAAGTCGCCAAACCAGGGCAGTGTGCAAGAAAAGGAATGCGACAGAGGAGACAAGCGTTCTGGTTCTGGCATGAAAAGGAATTCTGACGGGCAAAGAAAGAAACTATAAAAAACGACTGGCAGCAGTACATTCAAACACTTAGAACACGATGTTGCTTTTCTTTCCTTCTAACTAAAACCCCATGAAACGCCAATGAATGATATGTCACTCACCGAAACCATCTTCTGGGTCATGCTATGAAGGAAACGAGAGGAGGCAAGAAAGAAAGAAATAAAAAAAAATGCTCACGCCCTCATAATCGACAGGGGCCTTGGAAAGGGCAGCGTCACCCTCCACTGTGGCTGCGAGCGCCTCTAGAACCTTCTCCCCGTACGCACGGAACCCTCTGCAAAAGAGACAGAATGCAGGAAATGAGTGCAGTAGGAAGGGTTTTGGGCTTTAAACTTCTCGTTTATAAATATATTTACATATATATAATATATATAATGAAGGTTAAAAAAAAAAGGATTCCTGTTAGGCTTTCCGACCTCTCCAAAACAAAATGGCTCGCTTACTCCAACTCACATGGGTGCCACGTCAGCATGGTCCTGGTTGATTCGGAGCCGAACCTCCGTTGCCTCGTCAGCCTCCTCCAGGTCCTCTATCATTCGCGTCAGCACGGCGCTACCCTTCGCCTCCCCTTTGCCTGCTGCCGATGCGAGTTTCACCAGCAGCTTCACCTGGCAGCAGGGCAGGGAAGAGGAGGATAAAGGGTAAAGAGCACCATCTATCAATGCATCCCCCATCCGCCTCCTGCAGGTTCTCTATCATTCGAGTCAGCACCGCACTGGCTTTAGCCTCTCGCTTGCCTGCTGCTCACGCCAGCTTAACAAGAAGCTTCACCTGTACAATGGGAAGGGATCATCCTTAAGAAACATGACACACCAAAGTACTATCGGGGTGACTGGTGAGTCGACGCTAAGCCGTTCTTAGGAGAAACACGACAACATGACAACTTTTGAGGCACCTCAGAACATGACAACATGACACCATTGTACTATCAGGTGCCACCGGCACTACTAACGGACATACCATATGGTATGTACCATTGTTCAGCCACAAGATAACAGACCACGTTGGCATCACATGTACCAACATCACAAGTACACATACCATGAGGTAAGCGCCATCATCCAGCCATCTGTTCTCCTTAAGGGCACCATGCCCACTGGTCTCCATGGCAAGATGGCACTCCTCCCCCACCGAGTTCTGCCAACAATAAGAGCACACACCAGGACAAAGCACGGCATACATTTCTATCCCTGCCACGTGATATAAGAGTGTTTTTGAGACGTCTCAAAAACGCCTACCGAGTTCTGCCAACGATAAGAGCGCACAAAAGGACAAAGCACGGCATACATTTCTATCCCTGCCCCCGTTTCCCATGATCTCCGGCACATGCAATCAGCACCAGGTTCCTCCTTGAGAACTTGGATAAGTTTGGGAATGTCTGCAGTGCGGGAAGATCTGATGGCGCTCCTTCTGCCACTAGATTCAGGCGCAGCATGGATCGGAGAGCATGGCACTAGGTGGCATGGCATGGCATCGCATGGTCAAGGCTCAAAAAAGGACTCTCACCAGCCGGATGCCCTTGTCAATCACGTTCTTGTAGCCCTGCTTGAACCTCAGGTGCTTGCAATGTGATGTCATGTAATGGCGTGGCGTGAAAATAGATGGCATGGCATGGCATGGCATGTGGCTCTCACTCACCAGTCTGATGCCCTCATCAATCACATTCTTATAGCCCCGCTTGAACCTCAGGTGCTTGCCCCCTGATGCCATGCCATGCCACGCCATGCCATACCATGCCATTGTATGGGGATTCATATGGGAGGGCACGCAGCAATGGGCGGAGGGAGAGGCGGGAGTGATGGGCAGACATGCAAGGTCAAGTGATGCAGAAAGGAAAAGGTGCATGTAGCTGCACAAGTGTATGCAAGTGTATGCATGTGTATGCAAGTGTATGCAAGTGTATGCAAGTGTATGCAAGTGTATGCATGTGTATGCAAGTGTATGCATGTGTATGCAAGTGTATGCAAGTGTATGCAAGTGTATGCAAGTGTATGCATGTGTATGCATGTGTATGCATGTGTATGCATGTGTATGCATGTGTATGCAAGTGTATGCATGTGTATGCAAGTGTATGCATGTGTATGCAAGTGTATGCATGTGTATGCAAGTGTATGCATGTGTATGCATGTGTATGCATGTGTATGCATGTGTATGCATGTGTATGCATGTGTATGCATGTGTATGCATGTGTATGCATGTGTATGCAAGTGTATGCATGTGTATGCAAGTGTATGCATGTGTATGCAAGTGTATGCATGTGTATGCAAGTGTATGCATGTGTATGCATGTGTATGCATGTGTATGCATGTGTATGCATGTGTATGCATGTGTATGCATGTGTATGCATGTGTATGCAAGTGTATGCATGTGTATGCAAGTGTATGCATGTGTATGCAAGTGTATGCATGTGTATGCAAGTGTATGCATGTGTATGCATGTGTATGCATGTGTATGCATGTGTATGCATGTGTATGCATGTGTATGCATGTGTATGCATGTGTATGCAAGTGTATGCATGTGTATGCAAGTGTATGCATGTGTATGCAAGTGTATGCATGTGTATGCAAGTGTATGCATGTGTATGCAAGTGTATGCATGTGTATGCAAGTGTATGCATGTGTATGCAAGTGTATGCATGTGTATGCATGTGTATGCATGTGTATGCATGTGTATGCATGTGTATGCATGTGTATGCATGTGTATGCATGTGTATGCATGTGTATGCATGTGTATGCAAGTGTATGCATGTGTATGCAAGTGTATGCATGTGTATGCAAGTGTATGCATGTGTATGCAAGTGTATGCATGTGTATGCAAGTGTATGCATGTGTATGCATGTGTATGCATGTGTATGCATGTGTATGCATGTGTATGCAAGTGTATGCATGTGTATGCAAGTGTATGCAAGTGTATGCAAGTGTATGCATGTGTATGCAAGTGTATGCATGTGTATGCAAGTGTATGCATGTGTATGCAAGTGTATGCATGTGTATGCAAGTGTATGCATGTGTATGCATGTGTATGCATGTGTATGCATGTGTATGCATGTGTATGCATGTGTATGCATGTGTATGCATGTGTATGCATGTGTATGCATGTGTATGCAAGTGTATGCATGTGTATGCAAGTGTATGCATGTGTATGCAAGTGTATGCATGTGTATGCAAGTGTATGCATGTGTATGCAAGTGTATGCATGTGTATGCATGTGTATGCATGTGTATGCATGTGTATGCATGTGTATGCATGTGTATGCATGTGTATGCATGTGTATGCATGTGTATGCATGTGTATGCAAGTGTATGCATGTGTATGCATGTGTATGCATGTGTATGCATGTGTATGCATGTGTATGCATGTGTATGCATGTGTATGCATGTGTATGCATGTGTATGCAAGTGTATGCATGTGTATGCATGTGTATGCATGTGTATGCATGTGTATGCATGTGTATGCAAGTGTATGCATGTGTATGCATGTGTATGCAAGTGTATGCATGTGTATGCATGTGTATGCATGTGTATGCATGTGTATGCAAGTGTATGCATGTGTATGCATGTGTATGCAAGTGTATGCATGTGTATGCAAGTGTATGCAAGTGTATGCAAGTGTATGCAAGTGTATGCATGTGTATGCAAGTGTATGCATGTGTATGCAAGTGTATGCATGTGTATGCATGTGTATGCATGTGTATGCATCTGTATGCATGTGTATGCATGTGTATGCATGTGTATGCAAGTGTATGCATGTGTATGCAAGTGTATGCATGTGTATGCAAGTGTATGCATGTGTATGCATGTGTATGCATGTGTATGCATGTGTATGCATGTGTATGCAAGTGTATGCATGTGTATGCAAGTGTATGCAAGTGTATGCATGTGTATGCATGTGTATGCAAGTGTATGCATGTGTATGCAAGTGTATGCAAGTGTATGCATGTGTATGCATGTGTATGCATGTGTATGCATGTGTATGCAAGTGTATGCATGTGTATGCATGTGTATGCATGTGGATGCATGTGTATGCATGTGTATGCATGTGTATGCATGTGTATGCATGTGTATGCAAGTGTATGCATGTGTATGCATGTGTATGCATGTGGATGCATGTGGATGCATGTGTGTGCATGTGTATGCATGTGTATGCATGTGTATGCATGTGTATGCATGTGTATGCATGTGTATGCATGTGTATGCATGTGTATGCATGTGTATGCATGTGTATGCATGTATATGCATGTGTATGCATGTGTATGCATGTGTATGCATGTGTATGCATGTGTATGCATGTGTATGCATGTGTATGCATGTGTATGCATGTGTATGCATGTGTATGCATGTGTATGCATGTGTATGCAAGTGTATGCATGTGTATGCATGTGTATGCATGTGTATGCATGTGTATGCAAGTGTATGCATGTGTATGCAAGTGTATGCAAGTGTATGCATGTGTATGCAAGTGTATGCAAGTGTATGCAAGTGTATGCAAGTGTATGCAAGTGTATGCATGTGTATGCATGTGTATGCATGTGTATGCATGTGTATGCAAGTGTATGCATGTGTATGCATGTGGATGCATGTGGATGCATGTGTATGCATGTGTGTGCATGTGTATGCATGTGTGTGCATGTGTATGCATGTGTATGCATGTGTATGCATGTGTATGCATGTGTATGCATGTGTATGCATGTGTATGCATGTGTATGCATGTATATGCATGTGTATGCATGTGTATGCATGTGTATGCATGTGTATGCATGTGTATGCATGTGTATGCATGTGTATGCATGTGTATGCATGTGTATGCAAGTGTATGCATGTGTATGCATGTGTATGCATGTGTATGCATGTGTGTGCATGTGTGTGCATGTGTATGCATGTGTATGCAAGTGTATGCATGTGTATGCATGTGTATGCATGTGTATGCATGTGTATGCATGTGTATGCAAGTGTATGCATGTGTATGCATGTGTATGCATGTGTATGCATGTGTATGCATGTGTGTGCATGTGTATGCATGTGTATGCATGTGTATGCATGTGTATGCATGTGTATGCATGTGTATGCATGTATATGCATGTGTATGCATGTGTATGCATGTGTATGCATGTGTATGCATGTGTATGCATGTGTATGCATGTGTATGCATGTGTATGCATGTGTATGCAAGTGTATGCATGTGTATGCATGTGTATGCATGTGTATGCATGTGTATGCATGTGTGTGCATGTGTATGCATGTGTATGCATGTGTATGCATGTGTATGCATGTGTATGCATGTGTATGCATGTGTATGCATGTGTATGTATGCATGTGTATGCATGTATATGCATGTGTATGCATGTGTATGCATGTGTATGCATGTGTATGCATGTGTATGCAAGTGTATGCAAGTGTATGCATGTGGATGCATGTGTATGCATGTGTGTGCATGTGTATGCATGTGTATGCATGTGTATGCATGTGTATGCATGTGTATGCATGTGTATGCATGTGTATGCATGTATATGCATGTGTATGCATGTGTATGCATGTGTATGCATGTGTATGCATGTGTATGCAAGTGTATGCATGTGTATGCATGTGTATGCATGTGTATGCATGTGTGTGCATGTGTATGCAAGTGTATGCATGTGTATGCATGTGTATGCATGTGTATGCATGTGTGTGCATGTGTATGCATGTGTATGCATGTGTATGCATGTGTATGCATGTGTATGCATGTGTATGCAAGTGTATGCATGTGTATGCATGTGTATGCATGTGTATGCATGTGTGTGCATGTGTATGCAAGTGTATGCATGTGTATGCATGTGTATGCATGTGTATGCATGTGTGTGCATGTGTATGCATGTGTATGCATGTGTATGCATGTGTATGCATGTGTATGCATGTGTATGCATGTATATGCATGTGTATGCATGTGTATGCATGTGTATGCATGTGTATGCATGTGTATGCATGTGTATGCATGTGTATGCATGTGTATGCATGTGTATGCAAGTGTATGCATGTGTATGCATGTGTATGCATGTGTGTGCATGTGTGTGCATGTGTATGCAAGTGTATGCAAGTGTATGCATGTGTATGCATGTGTATGCATGTGTATGCATGTGTATGCATGTGTATGCATGTGTATGCATGTGTATGCATGTGTATGCATGTGTATGCATGTGTATGCATGTGTATGCATGTGTATGCAAGTGTATGCAAGTGTATGCATGTGTATGCATGTGTGTGCATGTGTGTGCATGTGTGTGCATGTGTATGCATGTGTATGCATGTGTATGCATGTGTATGCATGTGTGTGCATGTGTGTGCATGTGTGTGCATGTGTGTGCATGTGTGTGCATGTGTGTGCATGTGTATGCATGTGTGTGCATGTGTGTGCATGTGTGTGCATGTGTATGCATGTGTATGCATGTGTGTGCATGTGTATGCATGTGTGTGCATGTGTGTGCATGTGTGTGCATGTGTGTGCATGTGTGTGCATGTGTGTGCATGTGTGTGCATGTGTGTGCATGTGTGTGCATGTGTGTGCATGTGTGTGCATGTGTGTGCATGTGTGTGCATGTGTGTGCATGTGTGTGCATGTGTGTGCATGTGTGTGCATGTGTGTGCATGTGTGTGCATGTGTGTGCATGTGTGTGCATGTGTGTGCATGTGTGTGCATGTGTGTGCATGTGTGTGCATGTGTCTGCATGTGTGTGCATGTGTGTGCACGTGTGTGCATGTGTATGCATATGTGTGCATGTGTGTGCATGTGTATGCATGTGTGTGCATGTGTGTGCATGTGTGTGCATGTGTGTGCATGTGTGTGCATGTGTGTGCATGTGTATGCATGTGTGTGCATGTGTGTGCATGTGTGTGCATGTGTGTGCATGTGTGTGCATGTGTGTGCATGTGTGTGCATGTGTGTGCATGTGTATGCATGTGTGTGCATGTGTGTGCATGTGTATGCATGTGTGTGCATGTGTGTGCATGTGTGTGCATGTGTGTGCATGTGTGTGCATGTGTGTGCATGTGTGTGCATGTGTGTGCATGTGTGTGCATGTGTGTGCATGTGTGTGCATGTGTGTGCATGTGTGTGCATGTGTGTGCATGTGTGTGCATGTGTGTGCATGTGTGTGCATGTGTGTGCATGTGTGTGCATGTGCATACGTGGCTGGACTGCTACTACTGACCGAGCTTAGATTCAATGAATGTGGTCAGCCCATCAGATGTCACACTGTCCGTGACTATCGTGGTGCCCGGGTGCTGGGGAAGGGTGGGAACGAGTGGGAAAGGGTGGGAAGGGGTGGGAGGGGGTGGAAAGGTTTGGGAGGAGGCAAGGTGGGGTGAAATGGAGGAGAGAAGGTGAGTTAGCCCGTCTGATGTCGCACTGTCCGTGACTGTAGTGGTGTCTGGGTGCTGGGGAAGGGTGAAGAGGGTGGACCGAGAGGGGAGGGCTGGTGGAAAAAATAAAGAACGATAGAGGGAGAGTTGTGACCTGTGTGTGACCCCTGTGTGACCGCTGTGTGACCTCTCATGAAAACAACAGAGAACTCAGTAGCACCAGCCAATCTTCCCATCTCACCACCCTGTCCCACCTCCCCTCGCCCCATCTCACACCCTCTCATCGCATTTCACCTCTTCTCTACCCAAAACACCTCCTCTCAACCCATCTCACCTCGTCTCACCCCATGTTACCTCTTCTCACCCCATCTTACCCCATCTCACCTCCTCTCACCCCATCTCACCTCCTCGAGCACGATCGCTGCAATCAGAGCAATCAGACGGTTGCGGTTGATCTCCCTGCCGGACGAATCAACGGCGGCAGCTCTGTCCACGTCAGTGTCAAAGATGATCCCAAGGTCCGCCTTCTCCCTCAGCACCGCCCCTGTGATCGCCTCCATAGCTGCCTTGTCCTCTGGGTTCGGAATGTGGTTCGGAAACAGGCCTGGCGGATGGACGTGGTTTGGGAGGGATGTAGCGTAAGGCTATGTGCATGCTTTGGGACGTCTTAGGCACATGCATACATGCACACATGCATACATGCACACATGCATACATGCACACATGCATACATGCACACATGCATACATGCACACATGCACACATGCATACATACATGCATGAGTCAAATGACGGTGCGAACCATTCCATCGTGTTCCATCATGTTGACTAATATCATCATGCTACCATGCCATCATGTTGCATCATGTTGACTAATATCATCATGCTACCATGTCATCATGTATGTCATCTGACTATCGAAACATGACACACGTGATGCTGGCATGTCATACCATACCATCGCTTGCCCCATCATAACGCGATGCACGAGAGCCAAAGCATTGGGCGCATGGAACTGACTGCCAACAGCAGTATCGGCTCCTAGAGGCCCCAGCACCCCTCCCTCATCACGCCTACATTGCCATTCTACCATTCACCCAATACATGCAATCACATGCCATCACATGCCATCACATGCTGCATCATGCCGCACTGCACATACACCATACCATCGGGTTCAAGGAACTGACTGCCAGCAGTGTTGGCTCCTAGAGGCTCCAGCACCCCTGCCTGGAGGATGAATACATGGATGGGAGCACACACACGCGTGGATTAGGTGACACAAGGCACATTGTACTCTGAAGGCACTGCCTGGTCAGGGTATAGGTTCAGGCAACCCTCGCGGCTCGCAGTCACAGTTTCAAAAAGATAGAACAAAACAACAAGACAAGCAAGACGAGCCGGATGAACAGCATGAACAGGATGAGCAGGGCAAACAGGACAAAGAAAACAGACGAGGGTGGAGAACAGGGGAAGAGAGAGCACGAGAGATAGAGAGCTCACAGCAAAGAAGCCTCCTGCGCCGTTACCAGCATCAACAACGATGTGGTAACCCTCCAATGGACGATCTGTAACACATGACACACACACACACACACACACACACACACACACACACACACACACACACACACACACACACACACACACACACACAGGAGCGCCACGTGCCAAACACATCAGCACCAATCCGCGCCGCAAAACATTGGCTGCCTCAAGAAACGAGCGTCACTTATATCGCTCCTTATGGTCTCAGTGAACTCAACCCCTGAACTCTAACCTTTGATCCCGAAACCCACAACCATAGACCCTAAACCCTGAACCAATTGATAATCCAACTTCAAGCCACTACTTCAAGGAAAGAAACGTAGCCCCAGTTTTAGCTGCCTCACAGCATCGACCAGATCTGCAGCATATCTCTTCACATAATCCACATGCACCACGGCAAGGACACAACGACACTTAAGTGATAAGGGAGAAATACACGTACCTCCAGCCTTGGCAGCCTTTCTGACAGCGTCGACCAGATACGCAGCGTATCTCTTCATATAATCCACATGCACTGTGTGATGATGAGGTAAGTCCACTGTACCCCAAATAACAGCACATGTATACGTACAAATAGAACGTACCTCCAGCCTTGGCAGCCTTTCTGACAGCGTCAACCAGATCTGCAGCGTATCTCTTCATATAATCCACATGCACCGTCTGCTTCTCCGCCTTCTCCTGATTGGCCCGCACGGATTCTGCTGACATGGACTCGTAGATCTGGGCGGCAGATGCGAGAATAGCCGCGATATCCGCCTTGTTGGCGCCGCCCTTTGCTGTGAAGAACTTAAGCCCGTTGCGGTTGAAGGGGAGGTGGCTGGCTGTGAATGGGAAAAAGGGAGATGAAGATATGCATGGGAGGAAACATGCAAGCAGATCTTCAGTGACGTGACGGTGCTGTTGAACATGGCTGGTGTGGACGCCAGGCCGAAACGAACCACCTGAAAGAGACCTCTTCAGTCAACTCCTTACTGCACCGATGTTAAACCAAACTGCATCAGTTGTTACGTCGATCAGAAGGTTTACCTGTGATCATGATGCCACCGTCGTTGGGGCAGTGCAGGCTGGCATCCTCTGTGACGGTGCTGCTGAACATGGCCGGTGTCGACGCCAGGCCGAACCGAACCACCTTCACGCCCTCGCCTGCCAGCCCACGCGCTACTGCTGCCTGCAGGTGGGAGCAGAGGGAGAGAGGGAGAAATGACCACCGTCAAGGCTTCCTGAAAACCGGAACCACCTTCACGCCCTCGCCAGCCAGCCCACGCGCTACTGCTGCCTGCAGGCGGGAGCAAGTGGGGAGAGAGAGAGCAATGACCGCCATCAGGGCGGTTTGAATCCCTGAAAACCGAACCGAACCGAACCACCTTCACGCCCTCGCCTGCTAACCCGCGCGCCACTGCTGCCTGCAGGTGGGAGATAGGGGGACGGAGAGTAACGACCGATTCAAATCCCTGAGAACTCAACCACCCACCCACACCCCCCGCAACGGGTGCAGGCAGCAGTGGCATGGCACGTGGGCCGGAAGGCAAGGGCGTGAAAGTGGCTGGGTTCTCTTCGGTTTGAATCGGTCGTTGTTCTCCTAACTCCCACTCTGGAACTATCCGGGTTAGACACGCTCAGCTGCCCATCAGCCCCCTTTCCCTTCTCTCCCCCCGGTTGCGCCTTTTACACTGGCCATTACACCCACCGTGATCACATCAGCCGACACTCTCGAATCGTGTCCGATGGACACGCTCAGCTGCCCGTCAGCCTTCTCCCCCGCCTGCTCCTTCTTCCCCTTCAAGAACTGAGCGAAGGCTGCGCCTATGGCCTCTGCTGCGGGCTCCGTTAGTGTCACAGGTTCGCCCTCCACCCCCGGAATAGCCACTCCTCTTATGTCACTGCATGCATACACAATAAGTGGGAACAAGAAGGCTCCGTTAGTGTCACAGGCTCGCCCTCCACCCCCGCTATAACCACTCCCCTTATGTCACTGCGTACACAATTCAGGGGTCAGAATTGATGTATACTGATCTGAAACCCTCATCCCTGACAGGCTTACAAGTTCCAGCGTATGCTTTACGGTGCGGCACTTTGTAAAAAGTTCGCAAAATTGAGGTTGGCCTTTCCCCTCCTTTCACCCCTTAGTTTGCGTTCTGAACCAATTATCGTACCTTCCGTTTTGAAGCTTCTTGAAGTCAATTGCTTGGAAGAGCGTCGGTTGGCTCTCGACCGCTGTTGCTGCGACAAGGCCAGAGCATCAGAGCACACGCATGCAGACCATCCAGCACGGCAGATTCAGAGCATCGGACACACGCAAGCAAACCATTCGGCAGAGCAGATTCAGAGCATGGGATAGATTCCGCACACAAAACCAACCACGCCAAGCAAAAAAAGAAACCGAGAGCAGAAGGGAAAAGGCGAGAAAAGTGAGGAAAGGAGAACGGATAAGGCTTCTGGTTGACGGACTGACCAAACGAAATCTGGGACGGATTGGCAGATGAAGCTTCCACGACAACCAGCCGTCGGCTGCGATTGGTGCAACGTGACAGCTGGAGCGGAGTGTGACTGTAACGAGAGGTGAGAGCTTGTACGGCATTTGCGGATAACGCGGGCTTCAAGCTCGGGAAAAGCCTCGCAGCTGGATTGCTGCTGCAGAGGCTGGAAGTCAGCATCGCTGCAGCACACGGGGAGATTCACAAAGACGGACGCGGAAGCAAACGACTCTATTCAGTTTCCCGAAAGCAATCCCACGAGCTCTTGCTCGTGCTCGTGGTCGCCTTTCGCAGAAAGAAAAGGAAGTGGAAAATGTATCTCACCAGCCATTTTAATATTATCTAGCGGAAAAGGCAGGTAGCCTTGTGCAGGAGCAAGCAGTGCGTCCGTCCGAACGATGCTCGCACGGGAGAAACGAAACGACAGCAGCAACAAGCCACGGCTTTATGTTCCAAGTCCCGAGAGAAGAGCAAATGCTATGAAACAATCAGGACACCCACAACAAAATCCTGACAAGTAGATGCTGTGCCTTCAAATGCTGCAGCTGAAAGGTGGAGTTCCCTAGGAACACCAAGAGGCAATCGGATTTCCCAAGGCCGGAATCAAGCCGAAGAGCCAATTTTGAATTCCCATCCCAAGCTGACAACGGAAGTCAAAATATCCTGTCAGTCGGCCTTTCCCTGCGAGAAAGGTGGGACCACCAGCCACGACATACCTGGCGTCTACCCCATCTGAAGTCTAGAAGACCCACATGGCACAAGGTGATTCACGGTCCAACATTCGGCTGCAAGAATCGAGGATTGCTGACCGAAAAGGGTCAACATGACGTTTAGGTAACGGAGCCGACAACTTTCAGGGACGTTGTTGACGAAATTATCTTTTGCTGACGACGACGACGAAAGCCAGCGATTTGAGTTCTCAGTGTTGCGACAGCCTTGTGTCCCGCTAAAACGAAATATTTTTCCATGTTGCAAAAGCAAATTATAAACAAAAATGATGTACACCAACTTTGTCCATACTTGTTCTGATGCCAAGGTAATGGCTAAACTAGTTGAACAATTCATACATTCATTCTCGGTTCAAAGACACGCATCGCACATACTTATATATTTTCTATACATCAATACGCAGTCCATTATAAATTAAGGTGGTTTGCACAACGATGTCCCTTTGTAGAGTCGGCTGTTTGTGCAGACATATCCGCTGTTATATTGTGCAAGCAAGCGTGATGACGACTTGAAGTACAGTGCTATGATGCGAGCACATGTATCACCGGTGACAACAGTATAATACGCCTTTGTAACACATTTTGAAGCACCCAGCAAGACACTCGATTGCCCACCACGGGTACAGATCTGATGGGTGAGAGACAATGCAGGAGAAGCAGAGAAGGATGGGACCACACAGGGAAGGAACATGAGGGAGGGGAGAAGAAGGGGACGGCAGCCAATGATCACTCTGCTAACCTCCGAAATGGAATGACATCATCAACAGTACACAGAAGGTACACTAGATGGTTCCACATCCACAAAAGCACATGTTGCTACCTAAACGCTTACAATAACCTGCTTACATACATGCTGTTACGTACTTGACACCAACCTCCTGACCTATACTGTACACCGACGTTGCAGTTGATACCTGGAGTAAGCGCGTAGAACTCCTGTCTCGTCAGTGCCTGCTGCCCACTTGCTGACATCTGCTATCCACATATCTGCTGACATAATGTGTGTGCATGCCCACCTGCTGACATAGATGTACAGCAAACCCACCTGCTGCCCCAGCAGACTCTGGTCCCCCACGTTGCAGTTGATGCCCGGATTCAGCGCATAGAACTCCTGGCTGGTCAGCGGCGGCCGCGCAGACCTCATTATAGTGTCGCACGTGTCTCCCTCTGCTACAGTCACATACTCCTGGCACACAGGCAGGTCGGCTGTGCCCCTCACCACACACACCTGGCACAGAGAGTCACAGGGACGGAAAAGGAGGGCAGATAAAGAATTAAAACACACTTTCGTCACGTAGTCGTGGCACACAGGCAGGTCGGCTGTGCCCCTCACCACACACACCTGGCACAGAGAGTCACAGGGACGGAAAAGGAGGGCAGATAAAGTATTAAAACACACTTTCGTCACGTAGTCGTGGCACACAGGCAGGTCGGCTGTGCCCCTCACCACACACACCTGGCACAGAGAGTCACAGGGACGGCAAATGAGACCAGTTATAGAACTGGAAATTTCGCTACAGTCGCAAATGTGTGTCCTGGCACACACACAGGCAGGTTGGCTGTGCCCCTCGCCCCACACACCTATGGCACAGAGTCCCAGACTAGAAAACAGAGCACATGCAATGTGCTGGACGCATTTGAAATGAGAAGGAAGAGCTGGGGAGGGGAGAGCAGAAAGCAGACAAGAAGCGGCGCGGCGGATAACACAAGTAAAAGCGGAATGCAAAATGGCCACTTACTTGCTGCCCGATCTGCAGTGGCTTGTTGCATTTGAGCTCGTGGTTGCGCTCCTTCCACTGACGTTCTGTCGTTTTATACAATTCTAACGTTAATGCCCTACCAACAACTGCCCTGGAAAACCTGCCTCACCTGCTGCCCAATCTGCAGCGCCTTATTGCATTTGAGCTCGTGGTTGCGCTCCTGCAGCTCAACCGTGGTGATGTTGAATGCTGCGGCTATGGATGCACACGTACTGGTTTGCTGTAGGTGGGGGAAAGGAGGGAGGGGGGAGGAGATGCATGTTCAGGCAGTTGTGCAGGGATGGGTGGTGCTGACCTCGTGGTCTCGCTCCTGCAGCTCAACCGTGGTGATGTTGAATGCTGCGGCTATGGATGCACACGTGCTGGTTTGCTGTAGGTGGGGGGACAACGAAGGATAAGGTGAGGTGCAGGGGAGTGGAATGCGGTACAATGTGGCATTTGAGTCTAACTAACTGTGGTTGCGCTCCTGCAGCTCAACCGCGGTGATGTTGAACGCTGCTGCTATGGATGCACATGTATCGGATTGCTGTAGGTGGGGGAAGGAGAGTGGGAGGAAGTGGGGGGGAGGGAGGAAATGCACGTTCAGACAGCTGTGCAGGGATGCTTGTTGCATTTGAGCTCGTGATTGCGTTCCTTCGGCTAATCTGTGGTGATCGTGAAAGCTGCTGCTATGGATGCACACTTATCGCTCTGCTGTCGGTGGGGGAAGGAAGAAGGGGGGGGGAGATGTTGAGCTATCTCACCAAGCTTAACATGGCTGCCCGGATTCAACTTTTGAGACGTCTCAAAAGGAGGGGGTGAGATGTTGAGCTATCTCACCAGGCAAAACATGGCTGCCCGGATTCAAAAGATTTTCGAGGCACCTCAAAAATCACCTCAATGCACGCGGGCAGGCGGTGAGCTACCTCACCAAGCTCAACATGGCTGCCCAGGTTGAAAACCCGCCGGTGGGAGGTCAGGAAGGACGTGGCTTTGTTCCCAAGGGATTGCTTTGCAACCCTGGAGCCAGGTTTGGAATTTCAGTAGGAAGGGACTTTTGAGTCGACTCAAAAGTCAGCTTTTGAGTCGACTCAAAAGTCTTCCCAAGAGATTGCTTTGCAACCCTGGAACCAGGTTTGGAATTTCAGTAGGAAGGAAGTTGGAGGCAACTTTTGAGTCGACTCAAAAGTCAATCCTGGAGCCAGGTTTGGAATTCCAGAAGGAAAGGAAGTTGGAGGTAACATAGTAGCGGCTCACCTTGTCTCGCCTGACCTTGCTTGCCTTCGGTTGTAACATCATATATCATATCAATACAAATACCATTCGAGAGAGGAAAACTTACAGAAGTGACCGTATAGGGCGTGGCACATGGGTTGGTGTCGCCGATATGGATGTCATCGCCTAGTTTGAGCTTCTTGCAGTTCAGATCCTGTACTCGGGGGGAGGGGGGAGTGGGTGAGAAGAGGGGCAGGAGTGAGGCGGGAGGAGTCTTGAGATGTCTCAAAACTCAGCGAGGGTTGGTGTCGCCAATATGGATGTCATCGCCTAGTTTGAGCTTCTTGCAGTTCAGATCCTGTACTCGGGGGGGGGGGGGGGTGGATGAGAAGAGAAGGGGTAGGAGTGAGGCGGGAGGAGTCTTGAGTCGACTGAAAAGTCAACTTTTGCACAAAGGAAGAGCGAGCGGGTATGTTAATCAACTCAAAAATCGGACAAAAGCTTTAGAAAAAGCGTGCGGTGCGGGGTGGGGGCAAGGGCGGGAAGGGAAGGGGATGGGAGGGCGGAGGAGTGGGGGGGCGGGGTGGAATGGGAGGAGGGAAAGGAGAAAGGCATGTTTCCCGTGGAGGGGGGAGAAGAGAAACGAGTTACGGCATACTAGGTCTCTGGCTAAAATTTCTGGAAACACGTTCTCACGGTCACGGGGTTCAGCTGGGTGAAGCTGGTAAGGTTGATGCCATAGGTAGACATGACCAGGTCGCATGTGAGCCTATTTTCGAGGCGCCTCAAGAATGGACTGCTCTGCTCTGGATTATTTTCTTGAGTTGCCTCAAGAATAGACTCTTCAAATGTTTATTTTTGAGGCGCCTCAAGAATGGACTGCTCTGCTCAGAATTTGAATTTTGTGGCGCCTCAAGAAGAAAACTCCTCAAAATTTGATTTTTAAGGCGCCTCAAGAATCTTACCGGGTTGATCTGGGTGAAGCTGGTGAGGTTGATGCTGCAGGTAAACATCGTTTGAGGGGCCTCAAGTCGTGGACGAGGGGGGGGGGGGGGGACAACTTACTGGGTTGAGCTGGGTGAAGCTGGTGAGGTCGATGCTGTAGGTAGACATGACCGGGTCGCATGTGAGTCGACTCAAAAACCGTACACAAGCTTGGGAAGGAGAAAGGGGGGGTTCTTACCGGGTTAAGCTGGGTAAAGTTGGTGAGGGTGATGCCATAGATAGACATGACCAGGTCGCATGTGAGCCCGGGAACAACCTTGATTTCATCGGGTGTGGGGCCTGCAGAGGCAGGGAAGTGGGGAGAAAGGGGAAAATAAGGGAGGTGGAAGGGGCGGGCGGGGAGGGGGAAGAGGGCAGGGTGATTGATGCCATAGGTAGACATGACCAGGTTGCATGTGAGCCCGGGAACAACCTTGATTTCATCGGGCGTGGGGCCCGCAATGGCAGAGGAATGGGGGAGAATGGGAGGAGGGGAGTGGAGGGGAGGCAAAAGAAAGCAGGGTGATGCCATAGATAGACATGACCAGGTTGCATGTGAGCCCGGGAACAACCTTGATTTCATCGGGCGTGGGGCCTGCAGTGGCAGAAGAATGGGGAGAAAGGAAAAGGTGTCGGGAGAATGGGGAAAATGAGGAAGTGGAAAATGGGAGGAAAAGGGGGGGGGGGGGGGGGGGGGGGGGGGGAAGGGCAGGCTGACGTAAGAGCCTTGGAACCACATGGATTTCACTGAGCTTGGCGAAGGTGTGTTGCCTGGCTGGTTTGGTTTCAAAGTAGAACCCGGCCGGGTGGGCAGATGCAGTTGCCTCAGCAGGTACTAGGAACCCCACAGCAGCACAGCAGGACCGGACTAGCAGCACAGCAGGACCAGACTAGCAGCACAGCAGGACCAGACTAGCAGCACAGCAGGACCAGACTAGCAGCACAGCAGGACCAGACTAGCAGCACAGCAGGACCAGACTAGCAGCACAGCAGGACCAGACTAGCAGCACAGCAGGACCAGACTAGCAGCACAGCAGGACCAGACTAGCAGCACAGCAGGACCAGACTAGCAGCACAGCAGGACCAGACTAGCAGCACAGCAGGACCAGACTAGCAGCACAGCAGGACTAGACTAGCAGCACAGCAGGACCAGACTAGCAGCACAGCAGGACTAGACTAGCAGCACAGCAGGACTAGACTAGCAGCACAGCACTTGAAGGGCAGGCAACCCACCGAGGATGCAGGAGGGCGTGTTGTCGGGCCGGGTATCAAAGAAGAAGCCCGGCGGGCAGATGCAGCTGTAGCCCCCTCTGGCGTCGTCCAGACACGTGCCCACCTGGCAGGGGTTGACCGCGTTCAGAGAGCACGGCTTCACTGGTTGGGTGGGAGCGGGGAGGAAGGGACAGCAGGAAGGGAGGGGAGTGAGGGAGGGAAGGGAGGGAGGGGATGCAGTTGTAGCCCCCTCTGGTGTCGTCCAGACAGGTGCCCACCTGGCAGGGGTTCACCGCGTTCAATGAGCACGGCTTCACTGGTGTGGGGGAGAGGGGAGGGGAAGGGACGGAGGGGCAGAGAAGGGAGGGAGGGAATGATGCAGCCAGGGTGTGTGAGATGCACACGTGCCCACCTGGCAGGGGTTGACTGCATTCAGAGAACACGGCTTCACTGGTGTGGGGGAGAGGGGAGGGGAGGCGAGGGGGGGGGGGGGGAGGAGCGGAGAGGAAAAGGGGGGAGACGTATCGGTTTTAACACGTGTCCACCTGGCAAGGGTTGACAGCGCTCAAATAACAGGGCTTCACTCATGGGAGGGAGGGGAGGGGGGGTGGAAGACAGGCAAAGGGGGTGAGAATCGGATTTAACACGTGCCTGCCCACCTGGCAGGGGTTGACCGTGTTGACACAGCAGCAGCGCTTCACCTCACCAGCAGCGCAGCAGCAGCGCTTCACCAGCAACCGGCGGGAAGGGGGTGAGGTGAGGCACCGGGCCCCCCACTGGTGCGACTTTCAGAAGTCACACTGGTGCGATTCTCAAAAGTCGCACCAATATAACCGGCGGGAAGGGGGTGAGGTGAGGCACCGGGCCCCCCACTGCAACTACATCTGCCTTCCGGGCCCCATTGCATGTGCAGCAGCCCCCACTGCATGTGCGTGCAGCCCCCACTTCTCCCCTTCCGCCCCTCCCTGTCACCCACCCACATGCCTACCCGCCCAACAACCCACGGTAACGAGGTGACTTTTGAGTCGACTCAAAAGACACACCCACATGCCTACCCGCCGAACAACCCAACCACGCACCCAGCCCTCCTCCCCCACACCCACCCACCCACCCACCCACCTTCCCACCCGTCCAACCCTCCTCCCCCACACCCAACCCAATACATACGTGGTATGCACACAGGTGATTGGTCGATATTCTTCCCCACAATGAAATTCGTCTTGCACTTGCACGTGTATCCCCCCGGGCCCCTGCCGGCACTGCACGTGCCGCTCCCACACGGGTTCGGCACACAAGGGTTGGGACCCCGGACCACAGGGTAGAGAGCGGGAGAGGTATTGATGCCACAGATGCCGTCACCTGTATGGGGTGGAGAAGGGATGATGAAGGGGAAATAGGGGAAATGTTGGACGATGGTTCGACAGCCATGTGTAGGGTAGGGGGCTGCCACGACTGTTGAGACGTCTCAAAAGGGGGCATCTAATACGACTGCCACCGGTGGTCTTTGAGAATTCTCAAAAACCAGCTCGTCTCAAAAGGGGGCATCTAATTCGACTGCCACCGGTGGCCCAGCAGGATGCCCGGGCGTTTGGCAAGAAATAAAGGTAGACCGTGGCAATTAAGGTAGACCGTGGAAATAAAGGTAGACCGTGGAAATAAAGGTAGACTGTGGCAATAAAAGTAGACCGTGGAAATAAAGGTAGACCGTGGCAATAAAAGTAGACCGTGGCAATAAAAGTATACTGTGGCAATAAAAGTAGAGTGAGGCAATAAAAGTAGACGGTGGCAATAAAAGTAGACTGGCAATAAAAGTAGACTGGCAATAAAAGTAGACCGTGGCAATAAAAGTAGACTGTGGCAATAAAAGTAGACTGTGGCAATAAAAATAGACTGTGGCAATAAAGGTAGACTGTGGCAATAAAAGTAGACTGTGGCAATAAAAGTAGACCGTGGCAATAAAAGTAGACCGTGGCAATAAAAGTAGACCGTGGCAATAAAAGTAGACCGTGGCAATAAAAGTAGACTGTGGCAATAAAGGTAGACCGTGGCAATAAAGGTAGACCGTGGCAGTAAAGGTAGACCGTGGCAATAAAGGTAGACCGTGGAAATAAAGGTAGACCGTGGAAATAAAGGTAGACCGTGGAAATAAAGGTAGACCGTGGAAATAAAGGTAGACCGTGGAAATAAAGGTAGACCGTGGAAATAAAGGTAGACTGTGGAAATAAAGGTAGACCGTGGCAATAAAGGTAGACCATGGAAATAAAGGTAGACCGTGGAAATAAAGGTAGACCGTGGCAATAAAGGTAGACCGTGGAAATAAAGGTAGACCGTGGAAATAAAGGTAGACCGTGGAAATAAAGGTAGACTGTGGAAATAAAGGTAGACCGTGGAAATAAAGGTAGACCGTGGAAATAAAGGTAGACCGTGGAAATAAAGGTAGACCGTGGAAATAAAGGTAGACCGTGGCAATAAAGGTAGACCGTGGCAATAAAGGTAGACCGTGGCAATAAAGGTAGACCGTGGCAATAAAGGTAGACCGTGGAAATAAAGGTAGACCGTGGAAATAAAGGTAGACCGTGGAAATAAAGGTAGACCGTGGAAATAAAGGTAGACCGTGGAAATAAAGGTAGACCGTGGAAATAAAGGTAGACCGTGGAAATAAAGGTAGACCGTGGAAATAAAGGTAGACCGTGGAAATAAAGGTAGACCGTGGAAATAAAGGTAGACCGTGGAAATAAAGGTAGACCGTGGAAATAAAGGTAGACCGTGGAAATAAAGGTAGACTGTGGCAATAAAGGTAGACCGTGGCAATAAAGGTAGACTGTGGCAATAAAGGTAGACCGTGGCAATAAAGGTAGACTGTGGCAATAAAGGTAGACTGTGGCAACCCTTCTTCTACATTCTAAGCGCATGAGAGCTCACCTGATGCAATGGCCATTTGCATAAACGCACCTGATGCAATGGCCATTTGCATAAACGAAGCCGCCCACCCCCCAGGATGTTCCCCAGGTGTTTCCCAAGATAGAGTAGAGTGTGGCAAAAGCACGTGGTAACTCACCTGATGCGATGGCCATCTGCATGAATCCGTCCACCCCCCAGGTGGATCCCCAGGTGTTTTGCAAGGTAGACCATGGCAACCTTTTAAAATTCAACGTGCATGAGACCTCACCTGATGCAATGGCCATCTGCATGAAGCCGCCCACCCCCCAGGTGGCTCCCCAGGTGTTTTGCGCAATGAAGTAGGGCGTGGAACCAGCCATGCTGTAGCCCACGAGCAGCACTATGTGATTCACCACGCCGTTGATGAAGCAGTCCGGATCCGCATAGATGTAGCCCTGGCGAGTGGGGGGAGAGGAGGTGGGCCGTGGGCGTGGGGGGAGAGGAGGGCGAAGGGTTAAGGTGGGGAGGGGGAGCAGGTGCACAATCAGTAGGGAGTGGCACCGGACATGCTGTACCCGACGAGCAGCACTATGTGATTCACCACCCCGTTGATGAAGCAGTCAGGGTCCGCATAGATGTAGCCTGGAGAACCAAAGGGAAAAAGGGGAAGAGAGGTGCACAATCAGTCTGGTATGCCACATGCCATGCGATGCTGTACCCGACGAGCAGCACTATGTGATTCACCACACCACACACTCACCCCCAAACACCCTGCGGTAAGTTGGAATCACGTAGTGCTGCTCATGGCGAGGTAAGTTTCCAACTTACCCCGGGGTATTCAATGAAGGAAGTCTGGTCCGCCTGCCTGCACATTCACAATGATTGGCTGCACCTACCCTCCACGCCCCTTTTTGTTTGAGGTTGATTTTGAGAATTCTCAAAATCAACCTCAAACAAGAAGTCTGGTCCGCCTGCCTGCCCATTCACAATGATTGGCTGCACCTACCCTCCACGCCCCCACCCCACCCACCCTCGCCCAGCCAGCTCACCCCAGCGTATTTGATGAACGAAATTTGGTCCGCCACTATGTTTGCTTTTGAGTCAACTCAAAAGCACACCCCACACACCCTCGCCCAGCCAGCTCACCCCAGAGTATTCGGTGAATGAGACTTGGTCCGCCTCCACATTTGCAATGATGGGTTGCGCCTGCAGCGCAATCACCAAGCCCAGCCAATCAGACACGCCTTCCAACTCGCACCCTCAACACCCCCCCCCCCCCCCCCTTTCCCCCCCTACACACACGCTCACAAACACCCTCTCCTCTCTACTCACCCCAGCATATTCAATGAAGGAAGCCTGATCCGCCTCTATGTTTGCAATGATGGGCTGCGCCTGCAGCGCAATCACCATTCCAAGCCAACCAGACACCGCCACCTGTTCGAACATGGCGACCCGGTACGGCCCCGGGACCGGCTGGGCAGCCGGGGCAGGGGGGGGCTTTTTCTTTGCCTTCTTTTTGAGTAGACCGATGGAGGATGAGCGAGAGGAGGAGGAGGAAATTGGTGATGATTGGAGGATGCGGGCGTGAGGAATGTGGAAGAAGGAGGTGAGGATGGAGGTGAAGCGGGAGGAGAAGAGGGAGGATGGAGGAAGAGGGGGTAGCGGAGGAGGGTGGAGCAGAGACGATTCAAATGCAGGCTGGGAGATTCTTCTGCTTGGTTTTGCTGGGAGCCGGTTGGGAGCAACGGACGCAGGTGAAGGCGGAGGGGGAGGAGGAGGAGGGGGACGGGTGGAAGGAAGAGCAGCGGGAGCAGGAGGTGCAGGAGCGAAGCGGGATGATGACAGGTGGTGCCTCGCCAACGAGTCAAGGCCAGATGGTGATCCTTCTGTTAAGGAAGGCAGTTTTGGTTGTTGATGTGGTAGCTGGTGTGGCGAAGAGTCTTGAATGGAGGCATGGAGGTGGTCCTCTAGTGCTTGATCAAACCAGAGGTCAGGCGGGAAGGATGCTGCCAATTTCCTCCTCTGGGTCGGCTGGGGGGAAAGAGGGAATCAGAACCACAAAAGGCAGAGGAGAAGGGGGAGGAGGGAGAGGGGAGACAGAAAGGCGGATGAGAAGGATAGTAGATGCAATGATAGAACCAGATTAGAGGGGGGAAACAGAGAGAGGGAGGGAGGAACTCTAAACCCTGAACCTTTCCTGAACCATGCTGCTCACACTCGCTCCCCAGTTGGCTGCACCTCACACTCCATTCACCCCACAGCTGGATGCATCTTTCGTGCCCATGTACGGCACATTATACTCTGGCAGCACCCCTCCTGAGGGAGCTTATGCTACGCCCTCTCTACCGGCTCACCACACTCCACTCACCCCACAGCTGGATGCATCTTTCGTGCCCGTGTACGGCACATTATACTCCAAAATAATGCGGCACATCTTTCGTGCCTGTGTATGGCAGATCTCCCCCTGAGGCAGCAAGCCATACGCCACTCCAATCCCTACCCTACACTCCAATGCTGAACTCAGCTGGCCCCACTCACCCCACAGCTGGAAGCATCCTTGGTGCCCGTGTACGGGACTATGAACTCCGCCAGCACTCCTCCTGAGGCGGCGAACTGGAAGGCATCGGACAGAAGGCCCCCCACGCACTCCCACGTGCCCTTAATGCCCTTCCCCACACTGAAGTGGTTTCAGCAGTGGTTCAGCAGGAATCACTGCTGAACCCCCCTAATCTGCTCAGACTCACCCCACAGCTGGATGCATCTTTGGTGCCCGCGTCGCGTACGGCACCACGAATCCAGGCAGCACCCCACCTGAGGCAGCGAACTGGAAGGCGTCGGACGGAAGACGGAATCCTGGCAGCACCTCCACCCAATCCCACTTCTCACACTGAACTAGAGCCACACCCCACCACACTCCACCCCACTCACCCCACAGCTCGATGCATCCTTCGTGCCTATGTACGGCACTTGGAACTCCAGCAGCACTCCTCCTGAGGTGGCGAACTGGAAGGCATCGGAAGGAAGGCCGCCCACGCACTCCCACGTGCCCTTTGGTCCCATTCCCCACTCCAGCACCCAGTGATGAACATGAACCCCCTCAATCTGCTCAAACTCACCCCACACCTGGATGCATCCTTCGTGCCTGTGTACGGCACTTGGAACTCCGGCAGCACTCCCCCCGAGGCAGCAAGCCATACGCTACTCCAATCCCTACCCTCATCCTCAACTCCACCCCACTCACCCCACAGCTGGATGCATCCTTGGTGCCCGTGTACGGCACCATATACTCAGACAGCACGCCCCCCGAGGCTGCAAACTGGAAGGCGTCGGAAGGAAGGCCGCCCACGCACTCCCACGTGCCCTGGCAGTTGAGAATGTGCTGGCCTGAGATGTTGGGCTGGTTCGATCCGAACGCAATGGCGTAGGCTGCTTCGATCGCTGCTACTGGCACCAATGCCCAACACGCAGCTGTCAGGGGTGGGGAGAGGCAGTGAGAGCAGATGATGAGGGATGGGAGGGGGAAGATTGGAGGGGACACCCCCACCCCCACGCCACGCACTCCCACGTGCCCTGACAGTTGAGAATGTGCTGGCCTGAGATGTTGGGCTGGTTCGATCCGAACGCAATGGCGTAGGCTGCTTCGATCGCTGCTACTGGCACCAATGCCCAACACGCAGCTGTCAGGGGTGGGGAGAGGCAGTGAGAGCAGATGATGAGGGATGGGAGGGGGAAGATTGGAGGGGACACCCCCACCCCCACGCCACGCACTCCCACGTGCCCTGACAGTTGAGAATGTGCTGGCCTGAGATGTTGGGCTGGTTCAACCCGAACGCTATCGCATAGGCTGCTTCGATCGCTGCCACTGGGACTAGAGCCCAGCACGCAGCCAAGAGTGGGTGCAGGGGGGGGCGGGGGAGAGGGAGAGAGAGAAGATGATGAGGGATGGGAGGGATGGGAGGGGTAAGAGGGATGGGAGGGGTCAGAGGGGGAAGAGTGGAAGGAAGCCCCCCCACGCACTCCCACGTGCCCTGGCAGTTGAGAATGTGCTGCCCCGATATGTTGGGCCGGTTCGACCCGAACGCTATCGCATAGGCTGCTTAATTTGCTGCTACCGGCACCAACGCCCAACGCGCAGCTGGTGGGGGGGAAGTGGGAAGCGGGAGGGTGGCGTGGAAAAAGAACAGCTCAGAAGAGGAGAGAGGGAGTTACAGTACCGTCTAGGTTGCTTTGAGCACCCTAGCCGCACTCTCCCGAATTCCCTCTCCCTCTCCCCACTCCCCACCCTCACTCACCGCACATGCCCTGGTCGACCGTGGGCACCACGACGGTTCTCTTCTGCTTGCTGACCGTCTGGGTGTGCCAGTCCATCGCAGTCTTATACGTCCACGAGGGCTTCGTGGCCGTCCCGTTGTACCCTAGGCTTCCCTACTCGCCCTCCCCACAAGCACTCACCGCACATGCCCTGGTCGACTGTGGGCACCACGACAGTTCTCTTCTGCTTGCTGACCGTCTGGGTGTGCCAGTCCACGGTCCACCATAGTTTAATAGATCCATGAGGGTCAACAGGAAGACAGTCCCACCCCATGCACTCACCGCACGTGCCCTGGTCGACCGTGGGCCCCACGACGGTCCGTTTCTGCCTGCTGACGGTCTGGGTGCGCCAGTCCACCGCAGTCTTGTACGTCCATGCAGGCTTTGTGGCTGTACCACTGTATCCCAGGCTCACGTAGCGAAAGTACTTGTTGAAATTGACAAGAGGCTGGGGGGAGGGGCGTGGGGAAGGGGGGGACAGGAGAGGAGGGAGTGATTCGAACATTCAATTCATGCTGTTGTATCCCAGGCTCACATAGCAAAAGTACTTGTTGAAATTGGTGAGAGGCTGGGGGGGACAAGGGGAAGTTGGAAGAGTAAGGGGAGAGGGGGGAAGTGGAGAGACTCGAGTCTGAGTGCGCCAGTCCACCGCAGTCTTGTGCGTCCTTGAGGGCTTCTTGGCTGTGCCGCTGTACCCCAGGCTCACATAACGAAAGTACTTGTTGAAATTCGTGAGGGGCTGGGGGGAGGGGAGTGGGGAAGGGCACCAGGGAGTGGGGGGAAAGGAGAGGAGGGAGTGGTTCGATCATTCCATTCATGCCGTTGTATCCCAGGCTCACGTAGCGAAAGCACTTTGTTGAAATGGGTGAGCGGCTGAGGGGAGGTGTGCGGGAGAGAGAGGGAAAGACAAGTAAACGGGGGAAAGGATAGCCTGGTGGTTGTGCCATTGTATCCCAAGGAGAGGAAAAGAAATAGCTTACGATCTGATATAACATGATATAGAAACTGCCTTAACATATCTCTGCCTACCTTGGTTGCGACAGCTTGGTAGTCCGTATCCTTGAGGCCAGGCTTGCGCTTATCAGGGTCTGTTTATAAAGGGGACGAGGGAAGGAAGGAGCGAGGAAGGGAATGTGGTGAAGACATGAGTACGTACCTGCGTGCATGAGTGTGTGAGAGTGTGCGTGCATGTAAGGAAGACCCATAATTGATAAATTGGCACACGAGCTTAACTCTAAGAGCAGGACTGGGGAGTTCTATAACGTGTACATACCTTCTGGTGGGGGAGGCGGGGGCGGCGGGGGTGGGTTAGCCACAACAGCCGTGCTGCATGAGGGGTACGCAACCCCACTCTGTGTCGCAATATACGGGTTATAGTCTGTATCACATTCACACGTCGGGATGCGCGAAGTTCCGGACAAATAACACCGCCCGTGCCCGCCGCACGGCCCTGCAGCAGTGCTCGCGCCACAAAACGCCAAACAATCAGATGTGGACCTCCGCTGCTTGTCTGATGCGCATGGCCCAGTTCCAGACGTTACCATGCAGTTTCCTCTCATAGACCCATACAAAGACGGGCTGTAGGCCAGAAGTGCTGATTGGGCGAATCCCCCTTGGAGTGCATTCGGGCAGAAAGAAATTGTTCCGCTGCCCGCTGTGATCTTGACTTTGGCCGAGCCGTTGAAATAGTTTCTCTCGATGTTGTATGTGGCCTCAGAGGTGGACTGAAAGGAGGTGCTGGCAAATCCCGTGGGTGGGGGGCCTGAGAACTCGTTATTGGATATGTCACTGTGATGTGATGCAGGCAGGACGGTGAAAAAGGGAGTAGAGGGAGAAAGGAGGAAGAAGGAAAACGGGCTGTTTGCTAAAGGAAGTTGAATGAGAGCTGGTATTTTTTAGTCGACTCAAAATCGACTTATCACACTCCAGCTGGTACAAAAGAAGAGCTGGCGATTCCAATGGTTGGTTGAATGGCCTTTCGAGCTTTCTAATGAGTGGAAGGAAGTCACATGCCGGCGAGTTCGATGCGCGGGTGAGAGAGGTGAGCGGGCTGAGGGCAAGTCGAGTGAAGGCACATGCCCTGCTAGTCGAGAATTCTAGAGAAGCACTTTAGGCGAAGCCAATTATGAATTAAGGTCGCCTCAAAAGCCGGGAGCTAATTACACAATACACCACTCGTTATTGCAACGAAAACACATGCCCAGTGATCTCCTCACCAGGTCGCTGTTGTCACATTCCCCGTACTCACAAGTACATGAGGTTGGGAAGAGCGATGACCTCTTTGGGTATGCTGCCAGACAGCCAATTCTTGCTCAGGTCGCTGGGGAAGAGGGAGAGGGGAATGAGGAGAGTGTGGGGTGGGATGGGAAGGGAGGGATCACGAGTGGGTGTGGATGGAATGGAAGTGGGGAAGTAGACGGAAGAGTTGTGACAACCTGTGCTGGTATGCTGCCAGACAGCCAGTTCTTTCTCATATCGCTGGGGAAGGGGAGAGGGGAGAGGGTAATCAAGAGAGTGGCAGGTGGCAGGGGAGGGACGGGTGGGGAGTGAGGAGGAGGTCAGATTCACAATGGGGAAGGAGTTGAGGGGAGAGTTGCGATGACCTCTGCCGGTATGCTGCCACGCCTATGATGGCTTTGACGCTCAGAACTGAAAACGTCAAGCGTCAAAACGCCTCGCTTTGACGTTTGACGCGTCAAACCGTTTTGACGCTTGACGCTGCTAGTAAAATATTTTGGGCAGCCACCAAACCAACTCGACATTATGAGGCCCCAAAGCAGGCCCCAACAAAACCAACTCCCAAACCACCCTCCACCCCTTTGAAACTACTCAACCCAACCTATCTCCTAGTACTTCACCACAAATCTCCTTTGGAAACCCCATTCTAGGGTTTCCAACCAGCAACCGAAAATACCATACAAACTGGGGGGGAGGGGGGGGAGGGCGGACTAGGGGCGTCAAAGCGTCAAAACGCTGAGCGCGTCAAAGCCATCATAGTGCCACGCAGCCGGTTCTGGCTCAGGTCGCTGGAGGGAGAAGGTCCTTTTTAGAGGAGAATCAGTGAGAGAGTGGCGGGTGGCAGAGGAGGGATGTGTGGGTGGGGCGAGGCCAATGGGAAAGGAGTTGATAGGGGGGGAGCAATGACCTCTGCCGGTATGCTGCCACGCAGCCGGTTCTGGCTCATGTCGCTGGAGGGAGAAGGACCGTTTGAGAGGGGAGTTAATAGAGAGTGGCAGGTGGCGGATGGCGGGTGGTGGGAGCAGGGAGGGATGGGTGGGTGTGGATAACGTTGGGAAAGGAGATTGACAGGAGTTGACAGGGAGTACTCTGCAGGGTTTTTTTTAGAATTCTCAAAAAATCACTGCAACGATAGGGAGTACCTCTACTGTTATGCTGCTTGCCAGACAAGAGATTCTTTTGGGAGCTCTCAAAATGACCCGAGCTTACAATGCGGGGAAGGCGGAGAGGGGAATGAGGAGGGTGGGGAAGGTAAGTAGGTATGTAGGGGTTAAAAGTTGGTGAAACCTGGGAAGTAGAGTAAGAGTGTGAATCACGGTGGTGTAGGAGGTGGGAACAAGGCACAACAGGAAAGCTAGAGCTTATGAACGAATGAATCATTCTCATGTTTCTTCCCACACAGATATGCTCTCAGCTCGCTATTGTCACACGCACACAGCCTTACAGCTCGCTACTATCACATGAATCAGCTCTGATCTCACTGGAGAGCAGCTCGCTATTGTCACACGCAGGACAGCCTTGCAGCTCGCTATTGTCACATGAATCAGCTCTGATCTCACTGGAGAGCAGCTCGCTATTGTCACACGCACACAGCCTTACAGCTCGCTACTGTCACATGAATCAGCTCTGATCTCACTGGAGAGCAGCTCGCTACTGTCACACGCACAGGGCTTCAAGGTCAGTGAGAGCTCCAAGTTCCGATGGCACCTGCCCTGAAAGGCGGTTGTCACTGAGGAGACTGCAGAGAAAAGAAGAGAAGAGCATATTGAGAAGGGGAACGATGGTATGTGGGGGGGAGGAAGTGGGGGGAGAGAGGAGGGGGGCGGGAGGGAGGGGAGGGTTTGGTCAGGGTGTGAAGCTGAGATGGCAGAGGTCGGTGAGAGCACCGAGTTCCGACGGCACTCCCCCTGAGATGTGGCTGGCACTGAGGCACCTGCAGAGAGTGCAAGCAACGACACACCATTGTATGAAGAAATCAGAGGGTTTGGTCAGGCTGTGAATGCTGAGATGGCTGAGGGCAGTGGGAGCACGAGGTGATTTGAGTCGACTCAAGAATCACAAATTTAACTAGCACTTGCTCTTGAGATGCGTCTGTTACATCCCTTGGCATCCCTATGCGCCCCTTTGCATCCCTTCACATCCCTTAGCATACCTCAAAAGCTCAACCACTCACAGAAATCTGAGCTTCTGCAGCTGGGAGTAGCCAGTGGGGATGGAGCCGGTGATTTCATTGCGACCCAGAGTCCTGGGAGGGGGGCAACAGACACACGCACAGGCAGAAGATTGTTCAGTTGGTGCTTGTTCAATCAACTGTGCTTGGGTCACTTGTGCAGCTGGGAGTAGCCAGTGGGGATGGAGTCGGTGATTTCATTGCGACCCAGAGTCCTGCGAGGGGAGCAACAGACACACACGCAGAGGGTTGTTCAGTCGGTGATTGTTCAGCGACTATGCTTGCGTAGCTTTTGCAGCTGGGGGTAGCCAGTAGATGGGGAGCAGGCCTGTCGATTCAAGGGCATATGCCCTTAATGCCCTGAACATTCCGGGTTACTTTTTCTCCAGCTCGACTGCCAAAAGTGTTAGATTCGCACTGCACCCGTGCCACTAAGTGCCTCGCTCGACCCTTCCCCGGATGCGTTAAGGGCCCAAACCAGGCCTTCCCCTGTCTCGAAGTTTTGGTTTCTGGTTGTAGGACCCACCCCCCCCCCCCAAATTCTGCCTGACCCCACCCCCCCTTTCTCCTTAGGTTGCACGAGAGGAGTGGATTTTTCCCTTAGCGTTTTCTAGCCAATCCTGTGTTTGTAAAGTGTATAAGCCAGCTTGGAGCACCCGAATTTCCCCTTAGCGTCTGACGGTCTCCCCCCCCCCCCCCCCTTTCTCCTTAGGTTGCACGAGAGGAGTGGATTTTTCCCTTAACGTTTTCTAGCCATCCTGTGTTAGTAAAGTGTCTAAGTCAGCTTGGAGCACCCAAATTTTCCCTTAGCGTCTTTAAGTGCCCCCCCCCCCCCCCCCTTCTCCTTAGGTTGCACGAGAGGAGTAGATTTTTCCCTTGGCGTTTTCTAGCCATCCCGTGTTTGTAAAGTGATTAAGTCAGCTTTGGAGTACCCAATTTTTCCCTTAGCGTCTAAGTGCAAACTCTTCACAAGCCCGGATTTTAAGTTTTCACTTTGGGGTGCGCCCGTGACCGTTAAGGGCGCCCAAACGCTCAGCTACACCAAAAACAGGGTCAGATGGGGAGGAGCTGGGGAGCGCAAGTATGGGTCCCAGGAACTTCGACAGGCCTGATGGGGAGTCGGTGATTTCATTGCGACCCAGAGTCCTGCGAGGAGTGCAGCAGGCACACACCGCAGGTGATTGTTCATTCGACTTGAGAATCAGTGCGGGCACATGCAGCAACTCACATTGGAGCACGAAGGAATCGAGACTCCAACAATGCAAATTCACAAACATAAAAACAAAAACACACCCAAAAAAAAAATGTTGAGCGCGGCCAGTCAGCGACGCAGAAGTCATTTTGTTGTGACAGTACAATGGCACATGAGCACTCTCCCATCTTGTGACTACGCACTCACAATCATGTTGCGCGCTCGCTTACACAATATGCATGCTGAGAGCACTCAGAGTATGTTGAGCGCAGTCAGCGGGCTGAAATCGGCTGGCAGGGGCATCTTGTATGTCGACTTAAAAGTCCCCTTGTTGTCACAAACAAACAATGGCACATTATGCATGCTTTTTCGTCTTGGAGATGCGGACTCAACATACTATGCTTTTTCCCCTTGTTCTCACAGTATGTTGAGCGCTCGCTTACTCAATATGCATTCTGAGCGCACTCACAGTATGCTGAGCGCAGTCAGTGAGCCAAAACCGGCTGGTAAATCATCCTCGATTGAGTTGTCGTGCAGCTTGCTGGGGGGCAGGAGAGAGAGGAGGGGTGGGGAGCGAAACGGGGGTACGCAGGGGAGCAGGAATGAGGAAGGAAGCAGGGACTCTAGGAGGGGAGGAGATGCGGGAGCTGAATCCGGCTGGTAGATCATCCTCGATTGAGTTGTCGTGTAGCTTGCTGGGGAAACGCCGGGAGGGGTGGGGTGGGGGTGGAAACCGGGGTGGAAACCGGGGTGGAAACGGTGGGAGTGGGGGAGGGGACGGTGGGGGGGGAGGGGGAGGAATGAGGAGGGCAGTGGGGATTTTAAGATAGTCGGAACTGTGTGGACCTGTGTGGAACCGTGTGGAACTGTGTGGACCTGTGTGGAACCGTGTGGACCCGTGTGGAACTGTGTGGAACCGTGTGGAACTGTGTGGAACCGTGTGGAACTGTGTGGAACCGTGTGGAACTGTGTGGACTGAATTCGAGTGCCGGGTCATCGTCGATTGAGTCAGAGGTTTAGGTTGGTGAGGGGGAGAGGAGGGAAAAAAGGGTGGGGGGAGAGAACAGAAAAAAAAAAAAAAAACAAACAAAAAAACAAACAAACAGATCAATACAACCAAAGCAGGTAATAATGCAGGCAAGAGTGCAGGCGCTGAAATTCAGAGAGTAACAAGCCCCCCCCCCCCCCCCCCCCCGGTCTCCCCTCTCCCCCAAAAGAAAGAAAGAAAGAAAAAGAGTTACAGTTCTACTAATGTGACTAGCGAGGCAATCGAAGCGGTGGGAATCGTTCCCTCCAAATCTTGATCGCTGAGGTCACTGGGGGGAGAACGGGGGGTTGGAGGGGATGGGGAAGAGGGAAGAAGAGGTTGGAAAGAGAGGGAAGAGGGGGGAAGAATGGAAAGGGGAGGGGGAGTCATGCCACGCTTGAAAGACTACTCTAGCGGGGACCGACCAAAGAAAAGAATCAATAACGTTGAGGTTCAGGGGGAAATGTAGATTAAATTGGATGACCAACTTTCCTTTTCGGCTGAATGATGCAGAGAGAACGGAGCGGGGGCTGTATCACAAGCGGCTACCACCCCTTCCCATCCCTTCCCATCCCTTCCCATTCGTCTGCACCCTTATCCCTAACCCCTTTCATTTGCTCACCCCTGTCTACCCTTATTCCGCTCGTTGTATCACCACCATTACCTAGCTCGCCCCTTCCCCTCAACCGCTCACCCTTTCCCCTCAACCGCTCACCCTTTCCCCTCAACCGCTCACCCCTTCCCCTCATCCGCTCACCCATACAGCCCGTGCGACTCACAGCTGCGTCACATAACCGTCGACGTCGCACACCACTCCCAGCCACGTGTCACAAATCTTCCCAGACACCCACGAGGATTCTTTAGGTGCCTCGAGAACCGCTCGCCTAACCCCGACTACCACCTGGCGAATCCCGTGCAACTCACAGCTGCGTCACGTAGCTGACGGGGCTCACCTCACCCCGACTCACATGTCTAACAGTGTGCGACTCACAGCTGCGTCACGTAGCCGTCGCCGTCGCACACCACTCCCAGCCACGTGTCACACAACTCCCCGGACACCCACGAGGCCGTGGCGGTTGGCCACGTGGCAGCTATCGCTTCCATCGCAGCCGCTGTAGGCGAAGTGGGGGGAGAAGGGGGAAGGAGGAGGGGGGGAAACAGGGGGAGGAGAGGGGAGGAGAGGGAGAGGAGAGATGGGAGCGAAGGGGGGGGGAGGGGGGGGGGGAGGAGAAGTGGGAGAAAGGTGGTGGAGGGAGGCGGAAGGAACGGGAAACGAGGGAGGGTACAGTTTGCGACGGGTGCGACGGTTGCGACGGCAGTAGCTCATGGGCGCTCCGAGACTCGGCACAGGGATCTCCTAATATTCGCGAGTTTGCGATTTCGCATAGCATACAGCCTTGTCGCAGCGCATTCTGTCAAAACGTCAAAGGTCAATATTGTTATATCTTTTGCCATTCCGTCACGACCCAGCTTCTGATTGAAGTTCAAGACGTCTGTCATTTCGGCGCTTCGGCGACGAACCATCCTTACCGATGGTTTGCGACACGACCCAGCTTCTGATTGTAGTTTGAGACAAAAGCGGCGACGCCATGAGGTCCGACTTAATCATGAAACAAGTTCACTGGAATAAGTTTCTATGTCGCGAGTTTTGAGGAAAGTGTTCCTAAGTCGCGAATCCGAATCAAACCAGCCGAACTCACTCTGCGACGAGTGCACGGCGACGCTAGTAGCCGCTGATACGATGGTGAGCTGCATCGCCGGCAAGCACGCAACTATCGCCAGCACTGCGACCATCGTTAATTGCTGTCCGTTTAGCCGACCGCTTAGCCGTCTGGGTGGCCGTCCGTTTAACCATCCGTCTAGCCGTGCGTCTGTTCTCATTCTCATTATCCTTTTTCCGCTCGACATACTCCCGCGCTCTGCCGTCATTCTCCCACCCTATACTAAACCGAGAACACTGACGCTGAGACAAATGCAGAGTTACAGTTCTAAATCTGGGTTAAACACACCAAACGAGTATGATACGTCGTTTGAAAACTAGAAGCTCGGCTCCTCAAAACTGGGAGAACTGAGTCTGTACGGACTGAAAAGCCAACTCAAATATTGTCGCATTAACGAGTGCGTGGACAGAGTCTGAACGCGCTAGTATGCACCAGAAGTGCCGACATGAATGACTTGCTTAGCTAAATCAGGCAGCGGGAGACTTGGCTTTCGAAGGCTATCTTTCTGGCTATTCCTATGGACGCGGCCCTTTCGAGGCGTCCGACGCGTGGGAAGTGAGGCTGAATGACCGAGGGGAGCGACTAGGGAAGGGAGGCAAAACGCAGCAAAACGCAGTAGTGAATCTTAGAGGGTGTACAAAGTGCTGCAAAAACTCGACGTCGAGGAACGTCGGTGAATCTTGACGGTTGGAACCTTTGATCCGAGGGTGGAAATTCACCGACGTTCCTCGACGTCGAGTTTTTGCAGCACTTTGCACACGCCTTAGAGGAGTACAGTAGGAGCTTGTGGCGAACGAAACACCCGCATCATTCCATGGATGGCACAGAACTTGAACAGTGTATCACGCTGTGTGTCAGTCAGCTGTTTTCACATTCCCAGCTCTTCGGTGCGCCAGAACGCGACAAGCGTACAGTCTACGAAAAAGAAACGCTCTGGCTGCTTCCACCAAAGCTTCTAGTGTAAGCTTTTTGAGGACCTTGTGGAAGCAGACGGTTGCTTGGAGAATCCGTGGCGTGGTGAACCCACTCGCCCTCACAAGCTTCACTGTGCGGGGGAGGTGGATCTTCGCAAGCAGAATGAGAAATCTGTGCGCTTGAAAAAGGTGGAATAGAAATTAGGTACTGTATCTTCCTACGATGGCAGCATTGTGTAACCCTACTTTAATGTTCAGCTCAAGCGGTCAAGGACGATAATGTGCAATTCGGAACGGTTTATAATCCCGAACATATCTACACGTACACTTCATGTAACTGTTCACGAGCTCCACGGGGGCGCCCCCTAACATGACGGCAGCATTGTCGTTTCTGGAGTCCCGCGAGAAGTGCAAAATGAAGCTGGTGTGGTGTCAGAGTGCAGGGTTGCCTGGGGGAGAGTGCAGCGGTCCGCGGCAGTGGGGGGAAGACAAGAGCGGTTGGGGAGGATAGGGGAGGAGGGGGGGTGGAATCAGGATGACTGGGTTGGGAGGGAATGAAGGCTGGCTTGGGAATTGCTCTGTTCTTTGTCGGCGCGACAAGGAAGGTGGAGTTCTAGTTCTATTCATTCAGCACTAGGGGAGCTCAGTATTACCCTAAACCCCTTTTGAGTAACACGTATGACCCTCTTCTGGGATGGCAGAGAAATATTGGGCAGACGAAACGTTAAGACGACCTGCCCGAGACCTTGGCGGTGCTTCCGCAGCAACGGCTGTTTCTGATCGGGGGAGGTTTGCGCATCACTGCTGCAAGAGAATCTGACATTCGCAAATTACCACCGCAACTGGTGTCAGGTCAGCAGCACAGCATTTCGGAACTTTCGGATGGGAGAGCCTCCCCTCCCCCCTACACGCACTTGCAGAGTGGCCAACACGCATTTTCCGGTGCGCTGAGTGGGAGCATGGAATGTCGGTGCCAGCACAGCATGGTTCTGCGACGGCCGTCGATCATGAACTCGGGTAGTCTCTCTGAATAACTCGTTTTTCGGAGTATGCGTTCTGACCTCCCTGCAACAAAATTACCGTGAAGTGTTCCTCTAAACTTAAGACCTCATTTCAAGCTCTTACTAACTACCCATTTAGTAACATGCGACCGTTAATAATAATTGTGCTGTATCCCTCATAAGATCAACCTTCCAGCATTGGTCTCCCGGAAGGGCTGTCGAAGCAATGTCATTTGCCCTTAATACTCTGAACGTTCCGGGTTACGTTCAGAACACCTCGACCACTTAAATTTCTTAATTCGTTGGGCATCCTTGACGAATCGCGCCCTTTCCCGTAGTCGTTACAGGCTCCATTTGTCCCTTCTCCTCTATTTAAATAATATATTCAATTTGGAAGACCCCCCACCACCCGAGATAGTTTCTATACCCCATAAAGATAGCCCAAATGTAGCCTAGAGAAATGTAAACATAAACATATATGTTTTGACACATCCCCATAGGCGAAATGGGGGAAAGACAGAGCAAGCAATGGTCACAAGACCAGTCAAGAGAAGCAAATAAAGCAAAACCCATGGTGGATCTCAAGAACACCACACACTCCGAGCACAAGCAAGCGGCCACAAGGCCAGTTCACATGATGAGTTATAATAGCAAGGCAATACACTAATCACAACCTAGCAAGGGCAAACATACAGGCATAAAGATATATATCAGTGTACAACAAGTGCAAGATCAAGAGACAAGCAGGTGAGGCAGAGTGGGCAGAAGCCCAAGAGCAGTGCAGAAACGCTGATGAATACCAGACCCGAGGGCCTTGGTGAAGACATCAGCAGTGTTGGCCCGAGAGGCCACGTAGGAAAGGCGGAACTGACCACGCTGTTGCAGCTCACTCGCAAGGAAGTAGATAAGAGCAGTGTGCTTCGTTCTGTGCTCCGGTCTCTGTTCGCGACACAAGGCAAGCATGGCCTGGTTGTCGACGTACAGAAGTGGAGGAGAACGAGGCCGCTCCCCCAAGCTGGTTAGCAGGTAGGTCAGCCAGCGTAGCTCCTGTCCAGCCATAGCCCTAGCGTAGATCTCGGCCTCACAGCTGGAACCAAGCACCGAAGACGACCGAATAGACCACCACGAGACAAAGCCATAGCCGAGACTGAAGGTGTAACCCTGTGACGACCGCTGAGTAGCCTGGTCGTCAGCCCAAGAAGCGTCTGAGTGACCTGTGAATACCACTGAGTCCCATCCTCCAAGCACAAGCCCCATGCCCGATGTACTGCACAAGTAACGCAGTACCATCTTAGCAGCTTCCAAGTGCACCTTTCGGTGTCGAACGAGAGCCACGTAGCGAGCCAGGAGGCTGAGAGAGTACGCGAGGTCAGGTCGTGTGCATGTCATCAGATACATGAGGCAACCCACAAGCTCTGGATACGGACCGCTCGGCTCTACGGACTCGTCCGAAGGTGGAGCTGAGAGAGAGTGGCCCATAGGCAGAGGAGTGGGCTGTGGCGAGGAGAACTGGAAGCCGAAGCGCTGAAGGACCTGCTGCACCATATGTGACTAAGTCAGAGTGATGGTGCGTCTTGCTCTGTCCCGGGTGATCTGCAAGCCAATATAGTTGCGCAGCTCACCCAGGTCAGTGCAAGTGTGCCTCTTCTGCAGCTCCGACTTCACAAGAGTCAGTGCCTCAGTGTCAGGAGTAGCAAAGATCAAGTCGTCGACGTACACGAGGATGTAGAACGGCGGCAGGGAAGTGTCCGTGTGCAGAAACAGTGACGGATCAGCAGTGGAGGGAGCGAAACCAAGAGCCGCAAGTGTCGTCCTCAGTGTGTCTTGCCACTCTCGTGGCGCCTGACGTAGGCCGTAGACAGGCCGGCGTAGGCTCCACTGGGTGCCCTCAGGAAACGACCCAGTGAAGCCCCGTGGGCGGCGCAGCCAGATGGCCTCGTGAAGGGTGCCCTGTAAGAAAGCAATCGAGAAGTCGAGGGAGTGCAGCTCGTAGTCGCGTTGTGCTGCAACGCGCAGCAGCACCCGAAGAGTGGTCATCTTTGGGGTAGGGGAGAAGGTATGAAAGAAGTCGACCCCCTCACGCTGACTGAAGCCTCGAGGAACGTATCGTGTCTTGAAGGCAGGAGGAGAACCCGGCGGCCACTTCACCCTGAAAATCCACATGAAACAGACGATGTTCGCCCCCGGAGGGGGAACCTCATCGACGTAGGTGCCTGTGGACTTCCAGGAAGCCATATCTGCTTCCATGACTGTCTGTCACTAAGAGGAGTACTCACCCGATATCGCCTCTCTTTAAGAGCGCGGGGTGGGGATGTCAAGTGCATCCGGGTCTCCCTCAGGGGCAAGCAGCATGGTAGCGAGATGAGGTGCAGCGGTCGCAAGGCTTTCCAGCTCCTCCTGTCTGTCCTCAAGGACATCACAACGAAGGGCAAGCTCACCCCCGACGGACGGAGGACAGGCAGGGACAGGGTAAGAA